ACCATCAGCCAAAAATCCCTTGTTGTCGTTGTAGCGGAAAAATACGACACAACTCAATGTTCTATGTTCAACAGTCTTCTGATTGTTCGGTGTTTTATGTGGAAGCAAAGAGAACCGAACAGGTGATAAGTTTTCTTCATTCCAAATCGATTACGTTGAAGAGGAGACAAGTTTTTCATATTTCAAATCATTAAAATTATAATTTAAACCACCCAATTAGTTCCCTAAAATAAATGATCTATCTATCTATCTGTGTAACAATCCTGATCACTTCAACCCACCCAGAAGCATTATTGGAGTTCCATACACACAAAAGGCGTAATTGGGGTTCTATAATCTCGAATGGCATAATTGGGATTCCATATACACAAAACGCATAATTGAGATTCCATATTCTCAAAAGGCATTATTGGCGTTCCATAATCTCAAAAGGCATAATTGGGATACTATATTTTCAATAGGCGTAACTGAGGTTCCATAATCTCAAACGGAATAATTGGGGTTCCATATTTTCAAAAGGCATAATTGGGGTTCCATCTTCTCAAAAGGCATAATTTGGCTTCTATAATCTCAAAAATCATAATTGGTGTTCCGTATTTTCAAAAGGCATAATTGAGGTTCCATCTTCTCAAAAGGCATATTTGGGGTTTCATAATCTCAAACAGAACAATTAGGGTTCCATATTTTCAAAAGGCATAACTGATGATCCATATTCTCAAATGGCATTATTGAGGTTTTTCCAAGCAACAAGCGTCTCTTATGCAGGAGTTTGTCCTAGCTTGGAAAACTTCAATGTAAACAATAACTGACTATCATCTTTGTTTTCTCCGTGTATTGCTTAATATATTGCAATGTAATTGTCATCTTTGATAATGGCTTATGTATGCCGAAATCTGAGATAGGATTAAAAAATATGTAACAATATTGTGATTTTCTTTCTTTTAATAATAATGCTATTAAGCTTATCAGACGATATGAAAAGAATTTACATAAAATAAATAGACAACACTATATTATTTAATGAAATATGCATCAATATATATATATATATATATTGTTTTTTTCTTACACTATACAGTCTATATATATATATATATATATATATATGTATTTATTTGGATACGATCGCTCGCTCGTATATCTATATATATTCATCCATTTGGTGAAATATATACATATACATGCATATATGTTCAGAAAGAGTATACTTCTATATTTCAATAGTGTATTATTTGTTTGATTCTTGTCTGTTTTTTTTTTTCCAGATGTTGAATAGTTATTTTCGAAACAGAGACACTTTAAATATTCCTCGTGCGCAATCTTCGTGGGCGCATTTGTCCATGTTTGGCGTTACACCATAGCAAACAAAGTATATAATATTTAGAAATATGGTTTATTTATCTTTTTGACTGATGATATTTGAAAGGATAAAAGAAAAACCTCATCTGTAACACTTGAAAATGTCCCGAAGAAAGCTGAAGTGTCCTTCGAAAGCGATCGACTTTAATAAACATTTTATGAAGTGGTCCATCTTTTTTAGAATCTGACTAGAAAGTCCTTATCGAAAAAAATATTGATCACTTGCATGAATAAGATATTGCCTTGAAAAATATTTCTTGCCACTAGGGTTTTTTTTATTGTTTGAATGAAACAAATTTTTCAGGATCTTATATTTCCACGAAATCTACATATAAATGTTTAATCAAAGTGTTATTTTTTTTTCTATTTTTCTTTTTATTATTTCTCTCCTTCCATCTATCTATCTTTCTCTCTCACTTTCTCTGTTTCTTTTTCTCTCTCTTTCTCTCTCTATTCTCTCGGTCTGTAGCTGTTTCTAAAATCAAAGTTCTGTTTTCTTCGTATTTTCTTTTTCATTATTTCTGTCTCTGTCTCTCTGATACTTTCTTTCTATATCTTTTGCTCTTTCTCTCTCTATTTTTCTCTCTCTCTTTTCCCATAATCAATGTATTATTTTCTTCTCATCTTCCTTTTTATTGTTTCTTTTCTCTTTCTATGTCTCTTTCTCTCTTCCTCTTTCTGTTTCCATAATCAAAGTGTTATATAACCTCGTATTTCTCAGGTTTTTCTTTCTTTTTCTACCTCTTTCTCTCTCTCTCTCTCTCTCTCTCTCTCTCTCTCTGTTTCTCACTCTAACTTTCTCTATCTCTCTATAATCATTTCTTTGTATTCTTCTTTTTACTATTTCTTTCCCCCTTTCTCTGTCGGTTTCTTTCGATTTCTTTCTTTCTTTCTCTCTTTTCCTCTCTCTGTTTCTATAATCAAAGCGTTATTTTCTTCCCATTTTTCTCTTTATTATTTCCCCCTTTCCCCCCTCTCTCTTTCTTTCCCCCTCTCTCTTTCCCCTCTCTCTTCCCCCTCTCTTTCCCCCTCTCTCTTCCCCCCTCTCTTCCCCTCTCTCTTCCCCCTCTCTCTCCCCCTCTCTTCCCCCTCTCTTCTCTCCCTCTCACTCTTTCTATATATCTATCTCTCTCTTCTATAATCATATTTTAAATTTCTCTTTAATGTTCCGCTGTGTTATCCTTGTTATTTTTCCTTCACATAAAATTGTTTTTTTTACCCCTTTTTCGTCTCTCCATTTTACAATTATTGCCCTTACATATTCCATCGATGTTTCCAAAACTCCTTCTGATGTTCCAGCCATTTTTCAATATGTCTTGGGGAATTTACGTTTCGCTTCTGATTTTTTTGTCTTGTTTTATTTTTTTTCAGCCGTTTCTTCTTTTTTATTCTCTCAAAAAAATCTATATCTTTATTTTTTCCATAACGGTAAGAGGATTACACGAATAGAAGAATTATAAATACCATACAAGAAAAAGACTTTAAAAAAATAAGCCCTTTCACTTCTCCTACTTAAGTATGAACATTATCAAAAGTATAAATATACTGCGTGTACTCGTGTATTAGACGGGATATTATAATAAAATTTGAATGTATAAATAGTGATTTAGTATTTCATTTCAGAGATGAGTAATTGTCAATATACTAACTAATATTTCTAAATATTGTTCTAAATAAGGTTGATATAGATGTAGGTATAGACACAACGTTTCGATCAAGTAACCTTTGCCTATCATCAGGTGTCCATTGATTGGCTTTATATGAGATATATGTTGAGCAAATGACTAGAAACCTGATAATGACCAGAGAATACTTAGTCGAAATATCGTGTCTCTAATAACACCTTTATATTTGTTTTCCAGACAGAGGGATACACCATTGTCGTCCGGATATTATAAAGCTAAATAAAAGTACCAAGAACTATCATATGATTGATGTATACTAAATGACAGAAATATAGCAAACAAAGTAATTGAGAAAATTGCAAACTAGTTTGATTTGAAAGCTGAGATGGCAAGATTGTTTGCAATGCAGGAAGGGGAAGTCAAGTTTATTCCTGTACTGACTGGTGCATTGGGATCAATCCCATTAAAGTTCCTTGATCCTCTGGAGATATCGTACTAACTTGGACTTATCCCAAATCTTTTTGCGGGTGGGGTTGCACTGCACCTATTTTGGGGAAATTAATGCTAACCTCCCGGAGAGTGATTCGTTACGCCTTCTCGGTTTAACTTTCTCGCCTGATACGATGGGGACTTATCTCAAATCTTTTTTTTTTTTGGAGGTGGGGCGTTCACTGCACCTATTTTGGGGAAATTAATGCTAACCTCCCGGAGAGTGATTCGTTACGCCTTCTCGGTTTAATTTTTGGGGAAATTAATGCTCCTCCCAGCTCGCCTGATACGATGGGGACTTATCTCAAATCTTTTTTTTTTTTTTTTGGAGGTGGGGCGTTCACTGCACCTATTTTGGGGAAAGTAATGCTAACCTCCCGGAGAGTGATTCGTTACGCCTTCTTGGTTTAGCTTTCTCGCCTGATACGATGGGGACTTATCTCAAATCTTTTTTTTTTTTGAGGTGGGGCGTTCCTGCACCTATTTTGGGGAAATTAATGCTAACCTCCCGGAGAGTGATTCGTTACGCCTTCTCGGTTTAACTTTCTCGCCTGATACGATGGGGACTTATCTCAAATCTTTTTTTTTTTTTTTGGAGGTGGGGCGTTCACTGCACCTATTTTGGGGGAAATTAATGCTAACCTCCCGGAGAGTGATTCGTTACGCCTTCTCGGTTTAACTTTCTCGCCTGATACGATGGGGACTTATCTCAAATCTTTTTTTTTTTTTTTCTCAAATCTTTTTTTTTTTGGGGGGCGTTCACTGCACCTATTTTGGGAAATTAATGCTAACCTCCCGGAGAGTGATTCGTTACGCCTTCTCGGTTTAATTTTCTCGCCTGATACGATGGGGACTTCTTTTTTTTTTTTTGGATGGGGCGTTCCTTTTTTGGGGGAACCTCCCAGAGGTCGTTACGCCTTCGTTTAACTTTTCTCGCCTGATACGATGGGGACTTATCTCAAATTTTTATTTTTTGGGAGGTTATCTCAAATTTTTTTTTTTTGGGGCGTTCACTGCACCTATTTTGGGGAAATTAATGCTAACCTCCCAGAGAGTGATTCGTTACGCCTTCTCGGTTTAAATCTTTCTCGCCTGATACGATGGGGACTTATCTCAAATCTTTTATTTTTTTTTTTTTGGAGGTGGGGCGTTCACTGCACCTATTTTGGGGAAATTAATGCTAACCTCCCAGAGAGTGATTCGTTACGCCTTCTCGGTTTAACTTTCTCGCCTGATACGATGGGGACTTATCTCAAATCTTTTTTTTTTTTTTTTGGAGGTGGGGCGTTCACTGCACCTATTTTGGGGAAATTAATGCTAACCTCCCGGAGAGTGATTCGTTACGCCTTCTCGGTTTAACTTTCTCGCCTGATACGATGGGGACTTATCTCAAATCTTTTTTTTTTTTTTTTTTGGGGCGTTTCACTGCACCTATTTTGAGGGGCGTTCACTGCAAATTTTGTAATGCTAACCTCCCGGAGAGTGATTCGTTACGCCTTCTCGGTTTAACTTTTTTTTTTTTTTTGAGGTGGGGCGTTCACTGCTCGCCTGATACGAAGGGAAAAACTATATTGAATCCACTGATATGTTCTCTGCTAGGAAAGTTGGTTCACTGTGTCGTGCTATTTTACATATCTGTAAGCCGCCCATGTTTAGAATATTACTGCCACATATGATCCGGTGCTACTGCTCTTTATTTAGAGATTCTTTATAAAATCGAAAGGAAAATCGGCAATATTAATGGTCCGCACATGGCATCTCGGCTTCACTGACTTTCCGATCGCCGTAAAGTTGATTCCCTGTGCCTTTTCTATAAATACTTTCATGGCAATCATTCAGATGAGCTCTTGACCATGGTACCTAGACATTATGAATACAAGCGCAGTTCTACATTGGCAACATAATTTCATCAATTATCAGTTGAATTGACTAGAGGCAACCGTAAGTTCTATGCTAACAGTTTTTTTTTTCACACTTCTCGCTTATGGAACACTCTTCTGGTTCTATTCTTTTCGGCCAACTTTGACCTTCAAAATTTTAAATGCTATATCAGCCGTTATCTGCTGTCTTCCTGATTACTCTTTTATTGCTCTCACTCCTTAGTCATGTTTCTGCTTTCTAATTCTTTCATACCCCGAAACCCCTTGCGTCTTAGTAGCTTATCTGCCTTCCTTTCCTTCGGGTAAATTTGAATAAAAATATGTGGTCTGTCTGAGATCCATTTTGTTACTTGACAGATAACTTAATGTACCTGGTACATTCCAAACATAATAATAATAATAATAATAATAATAATAATAATAATAATAATAATAATAATAATTACAGAGCACATATACTGAAAAATTGTGTTAGTCCAAAATGCGGATTCTGTGATAAATATCCAGAAACAATTGACCATCTTTTATCCAGTTGCTCGGTATTGGCACCCACTGAATATAAAACACGGCACGACAGAGTGGGCCAATAACTGCAATGGAAAATCTGAAACACGAAAAGGAAACTGCAATAAATTGGTATGAACACCACCCAGTGCCGGTTATGGAGATAGGACCGATAACAATATTATGGGACTTCAAAATACACAGAGACAGAATAATCAAAGCTAATCGCCCTGACATCGTGATTAGAAACTGCAAAGACAAAAATGTGGCTACGTATTAACATGGCAGTTTCTGCAGACTGCAATGTATCTTTGAAGATCTTCCAAAAAAAAACATTTCCAGTTGTAGTTGGAGCCCTCGGGTTGATTGGAAAAGATCCCAATAGACTCATTGAGGAATCCCTGCTAACCCATGCCTTAAAGAAATACAAAATATTTTACTCACAAGTACAGCCCACACCTTACGAAATGCTTTATCTGCGTAAAATATGTGTGATTTATTTTCCAAAACTACTCAATGAAAAATGTCATGATGCCATTTCTGACCTTAGGTCTCTAGTTGGGACCCGGAAAGAAATGAGTATAGATCAGAAACCAAAGGAAATAAAATAATAATAATAATAATAATAATAATAATAATAATAATAATAATAATAATAATAATTGTTCTCATGAATACAGGCCACACCTAACGAAGAGCTTTATCTTTGTAAAATATGATTGTGTGTTTTTTAATTGGTCAGTGGAAAATGACATGATGCCATTTCTAACCTTAGGTCTCTGGGCGGGACCTGGAAAGAATTGTGTACATACAAGATATCAAACGAAATAATAATAATAATAATAATAATAAGAAGAAGAAGAAGAAGAAGAAGAAGAAGAAGAAGAAGAAGTAAATGAGTGATGATAAAAATGGCACCCGGAAAGTAAGGAAGATAATACCTGAGTGTGTATAAGAATAAAAATGAGTATAAAAATAGTAATAGTATGAGTCGAAAAAGAGAAGTAGAAAGAGAAATATCCCTAAATAATTATACAATAGATAAGTATCAATATGGAGGCATATACATGTTCAGAAGATAGTAATAAAAACAAACACTTAAAGGAATATTTAAGAATATATACATAGCCAGGTCTTGTCCACTTACTGATACCAAAACACACACAAAAAGGTTATCTTAAATAGTAGGCATTAAATTTGATAAGGAAATCACATTCGGCTGTTCTGAGAATAAAAGTAGATGCTAGAAAGTCACATTGCCTTTACTACGATTAAATAAGTTAAAATGCTAGACTATATAATCGAATAATTACAGTTTATTGTAATTGACTTCTTGTTATTTTTTAATCGGAGACAAAATTCAGAGCAAGTCTCACTAATATCATTGCCTTCCCTACCAGCATTGCAACCAATTACGTAGATTAGAGTTGAGCTGTCGCAAATCAATTGTGGGGCGTGTAATTTTAATTTGAATATATTTTGTGGCGATGAGAATTTACATGCAGATTTGAAATCGTTAGGGTTTGTGTCAAAAGTTGCACCTATTTTTTTTTCCTATTTTCTGACCAGGTATATGCATGTAAAATATGTTCCATTATCGTATGCTTACTTAAGGATTTTCCATCTTTTTCAATCAAACAACT